TTTAAACAGTTTTCTCCCTCCTCTGTTTCAGTGCAGTATACATTATTGAACCCATCTTACTCAGTCTCTCCCCAACCCCGAGGTCAGTCCCATTCTACAACAGTGGCATCATGCAATATTTGTCCTTTTGTGACTGGGATATTGTAAGAAGTAATTTGAATACAAGTTTGGTGTTATCAAAGGGACACACAGATACCTGTGTCAGGCGATGCTCCTTGAAAAAGACAGGGTTGAATTTTATTTTAAAAGTGATCAGTATATCATGCAAACATGACTGAATTTTGCATATTAAATGATGAATCACTATGCAATTTTATTTCTTCTCTGTATCCCAAAATATGTATGTCCAAGGGAGCTCTGGTGGCCTAGTGGCAAGAAGCTGCTCTGCAATCCCAGAGGCATGTGGTTCGAATCCACCAGATGCTCTGCTGGAGATGGAGGGACAATCTCCTTCTGTACCAGTCAGATCCCATTTGACAGTACACACATACACAAAAAAGATAAAATTTTAAAAAATATGTATGTCCATTGGGTTCAGAATCCCAGGGTATCTAAAACAATTTAAATATGAAATAAGCAGAAAAAAGTAGGCTCCGCCATGATGTACTTTATTGCAAGACAGAATAAGCCTTAGAGTATTTCAATGGTCTGACTTCATTATGGATATATAATACGTCTTTCTTTTTTCCTGAGCGTATATGCTTTTCCAGGCTTGTGTTTGACATGCAGGTTTGCTCTGCCCCCAGGAGCGAGGCAAGCCAGGCTTAGCCTAGGGTTTAAGGCAGGAGGTGGCCTTATGCCAAAGGGCCCTTGAGCTTGTAGCCCTCAGGCCAGGTTCAAATTGTTTTCCTCTCAAACATTCTTCTAGGTGGTATAGCACTGGTCTGTGCATTGCTGTACAGAGGTAACTCATGGTTGCTGTGATGCTGAACACTGGGACACTGATGTGCCAAATGTGGTAATGGTTACCCATGGTGGACAGTGTTGGCTGGAGCTTCCTGACTAAAACAAACCTGGAAGCAGGAGCAGCATCCACTTCCGAAATGGCTTGCCTTCCGAAACTCTATGTACGAACAGGACTGAGGCGTTTTGTTCATAGGGTCGCTATGAGTCGTCTATGACTCAACAGCACCTAACAACAACATATGTTATAAAGCTGGGGGCTCTAGAGGCTTAGTAGTAAGGACTTGTGCTGCCAACTACAAAGCTTGAGGTTCAAATCCACCAGATGTACCCTGGTAGAAAGAGGAATAATCTCCTACCATTCCATTTCCTGAATACTAGAAGAATGTCTATTTGTGTTTTGTTGACTATGGAAAAGCATTTGGCTATGTGTATCACAACAATTTATGACTAACATTGAGAAGAATGGGAATCCCATAGCACTTAATTGTGCTTATGTGAGACCTAGACTTAGACCAGGAGGCTGTTATGCAAATAGAGCAAGAGAACACTGTTGTTGTTGTTATGTGCTGTTGAGTCGCTTGCGACTCATAGCGACCCTATGTACAACAGCCCTAAACTCCGCTCTGTCCTGTGCCAATCACACTGCCTCTGACACACCCATTCTGATTACCCCAGTCACTGAATCAATCCACCTCATAGAGGGTCTTCCCCTCCTGCGCTGTCCCTCCACCCTACCCAGCATGATGTCCCTCTCTAAAGACCTGTCTCTCCTTACAACATGCCCAAAGTATGTCAGACGAAGCCTCAGAATCCTTGCCTCCAAAGAGCATCCCAGTTTAACCCTCTCCAGGATAAATGTTTGAGTATGTCAGTTGTATTCTCTCTCCATACTTTTCAAATCTGTATTTTAAGCAAACTATTCAAGAAGCTGGATTCTATGAAGAGAAATGTAGCATCAAGATTGGAGGGAGACTCATCAATAACCTGCTTCATGCAGATGGCAAAACATTGCTTGCTGAAAGTGAAGACGACTTGAAGTGTTTGCTACAGAAAATCAAGGAATGCTGCCTTCAATACAGATTACATCTCAATGTCAAGAAAACAAAGATTCGTATACCACTGGACCAAAAGGCAACATTATGATGGATGAAGAAAAGATTGAAACTGTCAACAACTTCATCTTACTTGGATCCACAATTAACACCCTTGGTACAAGCAGTCAGGAAATTGGGAGACGTATTGCACTGGGAAAATCTGCAGTTAGAAACCTCTCCAAATAATTGAGAAGTAACGATGTCGTTTTGAGGACTAAGTGTGTGTGATTCAGGTCACGATCTTGTCAATAACTTACTATGTATCTGACATCTCGACAATGCATAAGGGCAGAGTGACAACAACAGAAAAAAAATTGATGCCTTTGAGCTGTGGTGTTGGAGAAGAGTGCTGAACATCCCATGAATGTCCAAAAGGACCAACAAATGTCCTGGAGAGGGTGCAGCCAGAGTGCTCTTTGGAAACAGGATGACGAAGCTTCACCTCACATACTTAGGGCATGGTGCTAGGAGGTGAAATTCCTTGGAGAGGGACATGATGCTCGGAAAGATAGGTCAGTGAAGGAGAAGAAGACCCTTGGCCAGGTGGATTGGCATGAGGTCTGCCTCAGTGGGCTCTAGTGTGTCGGGAAGTGTGAGGATGCCACAGGATAGGACAGGGTTCAGATCTGTTGTTCATCAGGTCATTATGGGTAGTACTTGACTCAACGGCACCTAACAACAACAATAGTCAATTTACTTCTCCTAGAGGGTCAACTCTGAGTCAGTTCTGACTCAACGGTACACGACAACAGCATGTCATGGGAGTTTGGCGGCATATAGTCCAGTCTGTCGAGAGGTGCACTGCTCACCCAACAGTGGCACTTTTCTGACAGTTCATATCCACCAGTGGGTCCTCAGGAGAAAGACATGCCAACTTCTCCTGTTCAGCCTCTGAACTACTGATGGAGTGCCAGCTGTAACTGGTTCTGACCCAACAGCAGTGAGTTCTTGAGTGTATGTTATATGTAGCCCTGCTGGTAGAGTACAGAATGCATCTTATTGCTAACCCAAAGGCTGGCAGTTTGAATCCACCAGAGGCTCCTCGAGAAAGATGGGCAGTCTTCTCCTCTCGAGATGCCTCAGAAAACCAGTGGAGTCTCGCCGTGAGTGCTGCTGGTGAGCGGGTGTCAACAGAGGAGGAAGAACTCACAATGAGGCTGAGCTGGTTGGGCTGTGTAGATTCTCATATTCTCCACAACAAAAATAACTGAAACGAGATCCTTTAAAGGAATGGCTTTTCTCTTTTCCTTGCCTGACATGTTGACGTGACTTTGCTTCCCGGCTTGCAATCCAAGTGTGTGCTTTACTGGCCTGTCACTTGTACAAGCGCAGGAGTGAGCAGTGGTTGAATTAGCGGCAGTGTTTATTTCTTACAGAAGCAAGCAGGCCGTGGGGAAAGGTGTGAGATCTCTCGGCGCCTTGTTCAGGTGCTTCCGCTCACAGCCAGGCAAATGTTTGCTAAAGGGTATATTTAGGGTCTCTGAGATGGAGACGCCCAGCGGAAAGAGGGTCCAAAGCCTGTGTAGTTGCTTCGTACATTTTTAATTCAAAGGATGGAAGTTCAGAAAAGATGAGAAACAACAAATCGTTTACCTGGGAGCTCGCGCCTGGAGCTGGAGGAGGGGCCCCAGCAGCACTGTGGGTCTATAACAAAGGGAAACATGGGTTCACTTGTGATGACTTAATAACCTGGAGTGAGAGGTTCACGGGGGGTTCACTGTAAAACTGCTGCACATAGAGTAGTGAATAAGCCCATTAAACCTGTACTTGTCTTTCTTATCGAATAGTCCATGGGACTGTGTATTTAAAGAGAAGCTTTGAAGGTGCAGGAAGGTGCTGGGGTGGGTGCCAGGTGCCAGGCACATCTAGAAGCAGAATGTCCGGTGTGGTAGGAACATGTGTGCTTCAGATGACTAAGCAAACACCAGTGGGTTTGTTCTAACCTTCTGATGGTGTAGTCTAGCCCTGGGCAGAAGGGCAGATACCCTGGTAGGCAGTGCCCTGGCACGTGGCCTGTCTCCTGGCGCTGAGGAAGATTTAGTGCTCTTAATGCCACCCTTCACCCACATGGCACCCCCGGGTAGAAACGGGCCATCATCCTAAGGAGGATATTCACTCCCTTCCCTTGGTGTCTTGGTCAGGTCACAGACATAAAAGAGAAACTGAAGCTCTCCAAAAAGGTCTGGTCGTCTTTACCCTACGCCATCTGCAAGGACGAGAGCGTGACGGCGGGCACATCCAATGAAGAGGAGTGCTGGAATGGGCACAGCAAAGCCAGGTGAGAGGGCGCTGCACGGGGGACGGGCGCTGGGCACCGGCCGTGGAGAACCTGCTGGCACAGCTCTGCCAGCCTGCTGCGGCGGGGGGTGCCACGGAGGGCGGAGGGACCAGTCGTCACATAGCGACAGCTGTTCAGAGTGACACGTTTGATGGACAGGGAGCACTTGCTGTGCTCTTATGGTGCCATTAACGTGGGAGCCGTGTTCTGCATGTCTCACCTCTGGATGGGGACAGGGGGATGGTGACAGATGCCAGGTTACAGACATTGCGAGATCTCCCAGAGCCCTTTTATGCTCACTTAATGACACTTAGAGAGTGGAGCTATTTTTATCCCGAGTTACATTTGCACAGTGTTACTTCCCCCCACCCCCGCCCGTATCCACAAGTTAAGGCAAGGAATGAAAATTCAACTCCCATTTTCTCCACCCTCGGGGTGGGGTTGGGGGAATAAATGGCAGAAGTTCTTACTGGGTGGGTGAAAGAAAATGACAGAGAGACCACTAGGGACAGGTTAAAGGTCCCTGCGCCTTGGGAAGTCCTCTAGAGTCTCCTGAAGGATCTACTGTCCTTCCTCAGCTCTGCTGATCAAAGGTGCCCTCAGCTGATAGGGACTGTCTGCAGGTCCTGATGCTGCCTAGAGCGGGGCTTGGCCTGCCTTCCACAGGGTGGAGATATCGGATGGGAGGAGTCGGAAGTGGCAGGCAGACCAGGGCGCCAGGCAAAAATCACCCAACCTGATATAAAATCATTACAAAATGAGTATAAGGATCCAAGAGGGGTGGGAGAGGCTGGAAGCAGAGGGATGAGGATGTGCAGGGGGAGGGGAGGATTAATCATGGGGTTGTACAATTTGATGGATGGAGGGTGAGGGAAATGGAAAGGATTTGTTCTTGAAAACAATGCATCCGAATTTTGTAATAAGCTAGTAGGGGGAAAATTTAAAAAAACCAAACCCAACCTAAGCCTGAATCAGTAAGGCTGCAGGTGGAGAGGGCAGCTGGTAAATGAGATTGAAGGAATCTTTGGGAATTGGCCAGCAGGTGAAGGCGCAAAGAGGAGAGTCTTTTCTGGGGCCTTGTTGGGAGAGTTTGATTGTATGAAGCAGCTTTGATCAGACGGCACAGGTGGTACATGGATCAACATTCATTAGAAACTGCACAGGGTAAGTGGCAGGTGCGGGAGAGAGTTCATTGGGCGTTATTTCGTCCCCTGCGGAGTTGCGTTTTTTTAGCCTCTATTGATGATGATGTTACTAACTGTGCCAGGAAGAGCTTAGCAAAGGAGAAATAAGGCAGCTCTCTTCATTTCAAGCAATCACAAAAGACTGGTACCATGAGAGTAGAAGGAAATTCGTGGTGTTAAAAATATGCCAACATACTCCATTAGTTCTCGGTGCCTGATCTATTAGGGAGGAGACTCTGGCCAGAAACCCCATTAGTGATCGAACAACTTCTGATGGCGTCTTTACCCAATAACTACCAGGGAAGACCCATGTGGGCCTCTGCAGGTGGCCCTGTGAGCCGAGTGACAGGTACCACACTCGCCCCTGTGTGTCCACCTCCCAGTCTTGGCTCAAGTGTGTTCCCACTGAAAAATTATCCTTGCATAATTAAAGAAGTTCATTCTTTATTTTTTTGTTACTCTACTGCTAGAAGTAACAAGCGATTGCAAAAACTAGGGAGGATAGAAGGAGAATTGACGCCTTTGAGCTGTGGTGCTGGAGAAGAGTATTGAATGTACCATGGACTGCCAAGAAAACAGATTCATCGTAGAGAGGATTAAACCAGGCTGCTCCTTGGAGGCAAGGATTCTGGGGCTTCATCTGACATACTTTGGACATGTTGTAAGGGGAGACAGGTCTTTAGAGAGGGACATCATGCTGGGTAGAGTAGAGGGACAGCACAGGAGGGGAAGACCCTCTATGAGGTGGATTGATTCAGTGACTGGGGTACTCGGGATGGGTGTGTCAGAGACAATGAGATTGGCACAGGATAGAGCAGGGTTTAGGGCTGTTGTACATGGGGTCACTATGAGTCGCAAACCACTCGACGGCACATAACAACAACAACAACAACTGCTAGAAGCAAACCTTAATATTATACCTTTAGTTTTCAAAAACATAGTGGGTAGGGAACCAATGACTTCTTCAGTTAAATGTACTTAAAGCTTTCCTCTCACCCAACTATCAATTGCTCTAGAAACACACGTCTACATGCATATTGGAAGTTCTTCAATAAAGAAATATTCCCGGATTATTTTGCAGGCTGAATAATTCCTTTACAGTGCTACTCTTTTCCCCTGCATTTGCCATATGAATTGTCAGATGGCAGCTCTTGTTAAAAGTTCAGGAAAGCTGGTAAAAAAGAGAGAAGATAATGTATTTAGGTTATTGATTTTCTTTGCATATTTCTGTTCTGGATCTGTTTACTATATTATGTTGCTGTTGTCAGCTATGGGTCAGTTCCGACTGCAAGGCAAACGACAGCCACATAATATATTTAAGTTAGTTATTAAATGATAAACCCATCTGGGAAAAAAGAGAGACTTTTTTTAAGGGGAAAAAAATTTATAGCAAATGATAATGGAAATGTATCAAAGAAGCCTAATCCTGTGGCCGACCCTTGTGGTGATGTGGGCTAAAGGGGGCTTTTCTTCCTCTCTCCGTCTCATCTGGCAGATTCCTGCAGCTACTTTTGTCTGGACCTGCATTGTCCTTTTTCTCTAAATATTTGATCAGGCTTTTCTCACATCACCCCTGTGTTTTCTGATTATTTTCTGAATCTCACTCCACAGCCTCTTACCATCTTTTCTGGATGCAGAAACATACTCCTTTTGAATGTAATGTTTCTGGAATCCAAATGACTTAAAATGGCTCTCTCCATTTCCTTTGGGGAGGATCTCATTTTCCCCCCAAAAGCTGTTATTAGATTAATGGCACCTGTTGAAATCGATACTGACTTGAACTTGGAGAATGTGACATAGAGATGTGGCTACCATGGAGACCACGAGGTGCAAGCGGATGCTGAGATAATAGTCAAGGGCATGTACCATCCCTGGGGATGTGATTTCACCCCTACTCTCCCCTCCTTCAACTCCACCCACACACAAGCAACCCCCCACCTCCCACCCCACCATCCTCCAGCCGTTTCTGGATAGAGCTCACTTTGTTCTGAAAGAGGGCAGGCCTGGATGCAGGATGTGGGGTCCAAGAGGGGGAGCTGCACGTGGATGGGTAGAATTTCCCTGTCCCGGGAGACCCTGTTACATTTAAACCTTCATTCTGACAACAGAGCTGAGTGGTTCAGAGACCCTCTCCTTTTCTTTTCTCTTTCATTTTCCAAACTTCTTCTTGTTCTGTGAACAACAAATCTGAACCCTGTCCTGTCCTGTGCCGTCCTCACCATCTGTGACACACTTGAGCCCATTGCTGCTGCCATGTTTCAGTCCACCTGGTTGAGGGTCTTCCCCTGTGTTACCAACCCTCCACCTTTCTAACGAGGATGTCCCTCTCCAGCGAACAGCATCTCCTAGCAGCGTGTCCAAAGTACGTGAGACGGACTGGCTAGTCTCACCTGCTTTATGTGGTAACCCTACTTTAAGGCCCTGGCAAAATAGATTCCCTTTCCCAGGACACACTGCGGTCCTGGGGAGCATGTTACCACGTTTGTGTTCTCTTTGCCTTTGATAATCCCTTTGGTATTTCTTGGCTTTTTCACGGGGCTTTGCAAAGATGAGGCACAGCAGCACAGTCAGGCGGTTTCCTGGTTCGGCTGTCCCCTCACCCACCAGGATGCCCAGCGGACAGGAAAGGTTAGTCATCTCAGCAGCAAACTGTTCAGGCATCAAGAGAGGGCTTGTGGCTCGGAAATACAGCACAGCTTTCACAGAGAAGGGCGGCATCCATGCCAACCTCTGGTCTCAAATGGGATTCTTTCGTTTGGCCAAGGTTGAATAGTCTGGATCATGGGGGAGTAATTGACTCAATTAATACTCTGATCACATGCTGCCTGTACGAAGAACTAATTAAGAATGTTCCCGCACATTTCTCATGGTGTCTGTCCGTGAAGACAACCTTCGAAGCCTTTTTTCCCCCTCAGTGTGTTTTCAGGAGAAAAGCACTTGGAGGTGCAGCTTGTGTCTGGGCCATTTCTCACTTAACTCAGCCTCCTCTCACAGGAGAAATGGAAGAAGATGCAGCAGCGCCCTGACTCAACTCAGACAAATAGGAGTTGAAAGGAAGCTAGTAAGTAATGGAGGAAAAATCGATAATAATCTAGAAGGCCAATGGGGGAAAAAATGAAAGACTCGTGGTGCAGGTTACAAATCTGAGCCTCCTAAAGTTCCCGGGGTGAGCCTGCCGACCTCAGGAAGCGACCCGCAGTCATCTGTCATCCCTGCGAAGGGGTCCCGGGCAGCCAGGTGGCCGGAATGAGCTGTCGGTACCCGGGAGCCGGGAAGAATGATTAGGTGGGAGGCAGGAGAGCACAGACTCAGAAGGAAGTAAACCTTGATATGGTTAGCTTGCAAAGATCATCTGGCAGCAGCTGAAGGGAAGAAGGAAAGCCTTGGTGGCATTCGTTGGCTCTGGACTTTTTTGCTCACCGAGAGGCAGATCTTTGCCTTGGGGGCCACTGTTGTTGTTGGCCAGCCACCAGCTCAGCCCCTCTGCAATGGTGCCACTCGGCCCTGGTCCACCAGCCCAACCAGACTGGACCACTGTGACCTGTGGGCCTGTCAGTGGATGGTTTCCAGGCGTGCATTGCCAGGCCGTGCTTCCTAGTCCACCTGAGAGTTGAAGCTGCCCTGAAACCTATTCCACACCACAGCCACATGCAAGTCTCCACTGACAGGTGCATGTGAGCATCGAGGACCGCAGTCAGGCCCTGGTCTCCTGCTTGGGGATACAGAACCTAGTGGAACCATGAGAGCCTCCATTCTGAGGACATAGCTGTGCCAAACTGTCTTCTGTATTTCACTTTGAGCATCATTTTTCTCCTT